CGGCCGCGACCCGCTGCCACCGCGTGGCGCCCACCGCGGCCCACTGCATCAGATGGCCCGCGCCGGGGTCGACATGGGCGCCCAGGTAGAGGGACTCGTCGGGGATCTTGAAGGCGGCCCAGTCGGGCACGAGCTACGCCGGGAGCGCGTGGAGCTCCGCGCGCACCGAGTCGGAGAGCTCGGCCCAGAGCGGACTGATTACGCACTTCCTTGCGTTGAGGTGCAAGCTACCAAGTACTGCAGCACGCCGTAATACCTCCGCCAGAGGTGCCAGCATCGCGAGACGAGGCATGCGCAGCCCGAGATCGCCAGCGCACGCCGATGCCGTTCCCTCCTCATCAGTGGGGGGGAGGAGAGCGCATGCTGCGCGGAAGATGATGCCCATCGCCATGCCCCAAACCGTGCCCGACAGAGGGCAGCCCTGCGCGACTCCCGAGGCGAGCGGGCACAGGAAGTGGCGGGCCCCATCGGTGACAGAGTAGCCGGTAGCATGGTCGTAGAGGGCCGAGACTGCGCGGAGGAAGCCGATCTCGAAGTGGAGCTGGCTGAGCGCCTGGAACAGCCATTGACTACCCATCGATGGGGAGGCAGCGGCAAGATCGAAAAAGAGAAGCACTGGATGGTCCTGCGCCGCATTGCTGTGCCATCCTGACATCCTACCCAGCACGTCCATGGTAACGACGTTGTTGCAGACGCTGCGCCCCTTGATGAAGCCCTGCTGGACCTCGTGGGCGCGCGCCTCCACCCGCGGCTTCAGCCGTGCATTCATCGCCGCTGCAAAGAGCCTCGCATCGGTGATCTCGCGCGTGATCGGGCGCAAATTGCCGGGCCCCCTGGCGCAGCAGACGGCGCCTGCTTCCTCCGCGCCCTTCGGGGTGAAGAAGATCGAATCATTGAATCGCAGCGGCGTCCGACTTGTGGAAAAGAAGGACCGCGACACCTCCTCCAGCGCCTCGAGCGCGCCCTCGGCGACCACCCAGGCGCAGCATGAGAATCGGTCAGGGCCGGGTGCCGATGCCCGCGGACGCCTCGCAAAGTAGCGCACGATGCCTGCTGAAGGGGTGGTGAGCTGCTACTGGCAGACGCTCGGCGGCGCGAACTGCTGCGCATGCGCCTGGAAAGCAGCGCCGCCCACGTTCTTGCGCTGGGGGATCGGAGGCCAGCGCTGCCGGGGCGCTTCGACCTGGTCGAGCGGCTCGGTGAGGACGCGAGACTCGGACACGACGCGAATGCCCGCCAAGTGAAGCATGCGCGAGAACGGAGCCCATGTCCAACTGCGGCGCTGCAGAAAACGCGATTGCTTCTCTTGCCATTCGACCTCCAAAGTGCGCCCTTGCTGCCATGCACGCAGGGCTGCTTCCGTTGCTCGGGCTTGCCGAAGACGGAGATTCAGGAATTGTGCTTTCGGAAACAGCTCCGCAAATCGCACGTCGCCAATTAGCGCACCCGTTCTCGATGCAGAGAAATTCGGCACCCTCCTCCGTCGCGTGTTTGAGAGTGTGGGCTAACTGCAGATCCTCTCCAAATCGATTTGGGAATCGAGCGATCGGTGAGCAGCTTGGCCTCGGCAGCCGTCTGAGCGCGCGCATTGCCAGGGTGCGTGGTCAGCCGGTCCCTCGCGCGCCTTGCCGCGCCCACCGCAAGCTGCTTGCGGCCCTTTCACCCGCGCTCCGCGGTCGTATCTGGGGCCCCGCTGCTGCAAGATGGTGGCATTGCGTTTGCGTCTGGGCAGCTGGAGGAGAAACGTAGGAAAGGGCTGCGCATCTTCCTTTGACGGCTTGGCCAGCGCGAAGGTAGCACCAGGGGTCGCGCGGTCTCTCAGCCGGTGGTCACTCAACGCGGCGGGGCCCCTATTGACCTTCAGCTTCGTCGCCAGGTTGGGATGGGCATGCGCAGGAAGGCTGCAGAAGACCAGATCAATCCTGGCCCTCTCCAGAGCGCGCGGGCTCGCCGCTAGACACCTCCGCCATGGTCGCGAAGAGGCTGCGCCAGAACGACCGGCGGTGCTGGTCGCCGCCCAAGTTGGCCAGGAACAACGGCCGCGGCTCCGCAAAGGAGACAGCAGGCTCATCGTGGATGTTAGAATCTCCCAGGGAGACGAAGATGCGCTCGAGCGGCGCCGCGCGCACCCACCTCTGGCACTTGGCCCGCGTCGCGCGGATCATGCGCCGCTGATCGGAGGCGACCTCGAAGTCGTGAACGCCGAGGATCACGGCGGCGCAAGTGCACCCCGAGAAGTACTTGAGCAGTTGGACACGCCCAGGTACCATGTGATGATGTACGGCAAGCGCCCGATTAGCAGCAGCACTCATGCGCGAGGGTATCGACGGCCGCCAAGCACGACCACGCCTAGGAGACATGACATCAGGGACCCTCGCCCCTTCGCCATGGTCGCCCGCCTGCCCAGACAGCGCGGCGCCCCCCCTTGGCCGGCGGGAACGCGATGGCAAGGATGGTCCAGAGGAGGAGGCACGCCGTCGTGGAGTAGAGGAACCGCTTG